CCTCAGTGGCTTAGGACAAAAAAAAATAAAACTTTTAACTGACCTACCAAACCAGAACTACACACACCTTGGTCATTTCTACTACTACCATCTGGAACCCTTTCAGCTGAACATCATGTGCTCCCTCCTACCACAGGACACTGTACCTACATTTCTTTCTTTCTCTAGGTTAGCAGTTCTCAACCTTCCTAAATGCTATGACCCTTTAATGCAGTTCCTCATGTTGTCACAACCCACAACCATACAATTGTTTTCACTGCTACTTCGTGACTAATTTTGCTGTTATGAATTGTAATATAAATTTTTTTTTTGGAGACAGAGGTTTGCCAAAGGAGTAACGACTGCTTTAGGTAACTTCTACTTACAACTGGAATCTCAGTTCCCAACTGTCAAAAGCTTTCCCTACATTTCATTCATCTGAAAACTGGGATCTTGCTCTTCCTTTAGAATTGCCCCCACAAAAAACAAGGACTGTTTACAATTGTAGTTCCAACACTTACTCCTGACAAATTCATGATTGAATTAATTCCAAAAATAACAAGTTTACAAGCAGAGATGTATTAAAGAAATCAGATCAACAGAGGTAAAACTATGCAGGTCACTTGGGAAGAAAAGGTATCAATAGAATTAATTACCCAACATTGGACCCTGCATGCTACAACGACAACCTGACAAGCAAGATATGCCCACTGGTCCAATAGTGGCATGACTAATATGGAGGTAACCACTCGGTTTCTAATTGTATTTGAAACCTATGCACAGGAAAGGCTGATCCTGTAAACCTAGTCTAAAGCCCACTGCTGGGGAGATCCTAGGTAGAACCTACTACTGTTGACTTACTAAATGCTCTTGTTGTTGACCTGCCCTTCGAAACATTCATGCTTATATCCACATAGATAACTGCTGCTCTCAATCTTTATCAGAGAAGCTTCTTCTTGTAATGAGCAATAATTAACTCTGGACTCAGAACCTGCCCAAGTGCTAAGATTAGTGATAGGAGTGCTCAACCCTAAATGGGCTACACTCCCCTCAAGGACTAGAGAATATCAAAGATGAAGTGAAAAGAATGTAAGAGCAGAGGACAGAAAAGAGTGCAATGAGATGCTGTTTTCTGGGGACATGACATGGCCATTGCCCTTCCAAACTCACAGCAGCTGTGGTTACCTACGCAAAACCTGCACATGGTCAAGTCAGTGACCATTACTGAGAAAAGGGGTCAGGTTTTTTTAGGGGAAGGGAGATGGCAGCTAGTAGGCTGCTCATGCTCCCATGGACACCCTCACACCAACACACATGGGGATAGCACTAATTGGATTCACTAGACTACTTTTTAAGGGGTGGGAGCCTGGAGAGATGGCTGAGCAATTAAGAGCACTTGCTGCTCTTTCAAAGGACCTGCGTTCAGTTCTCAGCACCCACATCAGGCAGTTCAACCACACCATCTGAAACTCCAGCTTCAGGGAATCCTACACCTATAGCCTCCAAGGGCACCTGCATTCATGTGTATACAGCCACATGAAGGCACACACCTACCAATATAAAAAATTAAAATAAATCCTTTTTTAAAGAGGGCATGAAGGTGGGAGGGGAACATTTGGGGGGGGGGCAGGTAGAGTAGAACACAGACCGATCAAGATTCATTATGTGTGAGTGTGTGTGTGTGAAACTGTCAAAGAATAAAAGTGGTTTGGTTTTTTTTTGTTGTTGTTGTTGTTGTTCATTTTAAAAAGTGGCTGGAGGGACGGCTCAATGGTTGAGAACACTGGCTGCTTTTCCTGAGAATCCAGGAAAAGTCCCAGAACCCACAGGCAACTAATGACCATTTGTAACTCCAGCTCCAAAGGATATGACACCCTCTTCTGGCCTTTGCAGGCATCCAGCACCTGAGTAGTGAGTACACATACATACATGCAGGGGAAAACTTAGACAAAGAAATAAAAATAAATCTTTTAAAGAGATTTAAAAGAAATCTTTTTTAAAAAATTCCAGATCCTCTTGGTTGTACTGGGAGTCCAAAGCTGGTCTGGGCTAGATACAAGAAACCCTGTCTCAGACAGGAAATTGGTAGTTGACAGTGATACCACAGGTCTCTCTATTCATCAAATACTACCATGAGCTACCTTCAACACAATGATTTCTGTCTATTTTTCCTTTTTCCCCTGACCATTAGGAAGAAGAATACACTTGGAATTATTTTAACATTTGCAAAACTTTCTTCTTCAAACTTCCCTCCAATACTGTTATCAGCTAGGAAAAAGAAAATGCTACATGATATACAAATTTTGCAATACATTAAATTTTAAGGGCAAAAAAGCTTTTTCCATGAAGTATCTAATTTCAAATCTAAATTACTGGTAAAATTACTGGTAAGGTTAAAAAATTTAAGTATCTTTTTACGCACAAAAGTATTTAAAGGGTATACTTTAGAATTCATTCTACAACCATAAAAGATTTTCTACATATTACTAGTTAAAATTTGACTAAAAGATGGAGATACACAAAACTACACTTTTCCAAAACTATGCAAAGTAATAATTCTTATCAAGTCATTATTCATGTTAAAGGAAAACCATCAATCTCAGAATGGTTGAATAAGTCACTCCTGAAGGAACTACCAACACAAATGCTGGATCCAAATAATTCAAGTAAACCTAGCAAATAAAGAATTTTACAAAGGAAAAAAGTGTAAACAACCTACCCTTAAATGAAAAGGTAAAAATTAGTTAAATAATTTTTGATATGGTCAACCAAAAGATCGCGCACACTGCAGATTCTATATCACCCTATTTAGTGTAGAGCTGCGCATTTAAAGACAGAGGTTTCCATTGTACAAATTATCTGTGACTAACAAAGTAACACGAAGAAGGAAAGCATCAAACCCCAAATGTCACACTCCTACTTCAATCCTCTCCTGTTCTCCCTATCATCTCCCATTCGCCCACCTTTACAGAAGTCTTTCAACAACTGGGCATTTAAACACAGGCAGTCTTCTCACCTCAGTATTTACCACTCCCTTTGCATAACTTTCCCCAGCCGCTTCAAAAGCTTCCTACAGAGAAAAAGCTCCTTTTCTCAGACATGCTACTGCCCCTAAGATACCTCTTTGGGTCTTCCTCACTAGCCTTGGGATCATTATTTTGATAACACAAGTAGAACCTGTTGTATAAACACAGCTGTAATTATTTAACATCAAAAATAAACGATATGCGTGGATACTGCACAACGCAGTATTTCTTCTGGTTTTTAAAACCTGCCTCATAAAATGCTTTTCACACAGGCTATGCAGTAGAGAATATCTCTTAAACTGTCAAAGGGGAAAAGCAAACTACACTGAGTATCGTAAAGATTTACATTCAATCGCTTCAACTAACGATGACTACTTTAGTACAAATACTTGAAGGGCTTCTCTGCACACCCCTGTCCAACCCCCCTCCAAAAATCAGGCAATACAGAAATTTGCTGCAGCAAAATGTACGCAAAATATCTAGGTTCTGAGACACCGTCTAGTGTCTGTCTCCCCATGTAGCCCAGGCTTGTTTCAAACTTTCCATGGTTCCTGGCTTGGCCTCCAAGCCGGGAATCTAAGTGTGGTTCACCACCCCTAGTTTCAAAGATATTAGAGCTGCCTTAAAATCAAGTTCTTGTCTAATAAGGAGTTGTATAGGTTTCCATTCAGAGAAACTTGTAAATGTACTGAAAAACTTACAGAATAGTACTACTAGCAAAATACCAAAATGTTCTTAAGTCCTAAAACTATTTAAAATATAATTTTTTTTAAATTGTTCCCACAGGGACAATCCAGCTATTTTTCATTCGGACTCAATCTTACACAATCATGGGTTTACTTTTCCTTTTAATGCTGGGATTGCTATGCAACCTTAGGAAAATCGTTCTCATCACAGTTCCTAAAATTAAAACCCAACGTATTAACTTCCAAAGGGGGACTCGCTTTACATTTAAAAAGAGGAAAGAGGTCTTCTTTTTAGCTCCACATTGTCAGTATTCCTTAAAAATTAATAGGTTGCTCGGTTTAAACTTTTCTTCCCCAGCGTACCCTACACAGAGGCGCAAAAGGCCCTCGATCTGAACAACAAGGATCGCCAAGTCAGTGATCCTCTATCACAGTCAATGCTCCAAAGTCAACAGTTCTAGAGCTGTGTGGCACCTTATCAGCTTTCTCAAGGTATGCTGGGAAACGGCAAACGTTAGAGTCACAAACACTGAGAATTCCTCAGCAAAAAGACAGCGTGATCCCCAGGGCTAGGAGCAGACACCAGGTCCTCCGTACCCGGGGACGAGCCGAAGTGACACCGGGGACCCACTACCACTAACCTACAACCATCCATCCCCCAGCTGACGCACAGCTTTCTGCCGCGCTCTTGGGGCCCTGCCAACACCCGGGGTCACTCCCAGCCAAGCCACTGCTGGGCCTCCCGGCTCTCCGGAGCCCCGCACCTGACAGGGGAGACTCCGGGCGAGGCCCTCGACCGCCCCTACCCGGTCCTGCCCGCCTCGCCCGTGGGGCCGCGCCTGCCCGCAGCCGCCGCGCAGACCCCCGCCGCGCCGCGGCCCGAAGCTCCAGCCCCCAGCCACCTCCCGCAGGGCCCTGAGCGCGCTGCGGCCGCCCCGGGGCAAGGACACCGTGCGGGTCCGGCCGGCCGGGCGAGCGAGCAGGCGGGCGAGCAGGCGGGCGAGCCAGGCGCGGGCGGGCTCCCGCGGCGCCCCCGCGGGCCGCAAGATGGCGGCGGCGGCGGCGGCGCCGGGCTGAGCCCTCCGCGGCGCCCGGCCGGCCGGCCGGCCGGCTCCTTCCCCTCCCCTCCGCAGCCCGGGCGGGCAGCGGCGGACCGCGAGGCGCGGGGCCCAGGAGACGCAGCGGGGCCGCGGTTCCGACGCTAGGCGCGGGCGTGGGGGAGGGGAGCGCGGCCCGTCCGGCCTTGCCGCCGCCCGCCCGCCGGCCCGCCCGCCCCGGTCCCCGCTCGGGCGCGTCCTAGCCCGCTTACCTTTGAATTTGAGGTCGGAGGCTGGGTCGAGGACCAGGATCTGCTCGTGCTTCGCCATGGCCCCGGAGGCGGACGCCATCGGAGACAGCGCAGAGCGGGGGCGCGCCCGCGGCGGCGGCAGCGGCGGCGGTTCGCTGGCGGGGGCGGAGGACGGTGGCGGCGCCGGCTCGGCGGAGCTCTAGGACGGGGCCAGGCTCACGGCGACTCCCGAGGCTCCGCGCCTGCTGCCGGGCCGCGGGGTTCCGAGGGGCCCCCTGTCGGGTCAGCAGCTCCGGGTGTCACAACTGACTCAACCCCACACCAGCCGCCGCGGCCGCGCGCACTGCGATCCTTCGGCTCCCCACGTGACGGGCTCGACGTGCCTACGTGCGCGCCTCCGCGGCCCGGAGCCCTCGTGCTGGCCCCGCCCTCTGGGCCTAACCCGGCTCAGCGCTGAGCTAGTGCGCCTGCGCACCACCGCCCGCCCCCCCCTCTCCCCCGCCCGGGCTGCGGCTCCGGGCGCCGTTCTACTGTCGATGGCTGCGGAGCGAGCTAGGGGCGGAGCGGGGCTCTTGGCTGGAGACGCGGTGCGCGGCGCCGGGACGAGAGGCGTCGTTCTCGGCCCCGAAGAGCTGCGAGTGCGGAGCTGGAGCGCCTACTACGATGGGGCCTCACGGCGTTCCAAGTGGAATTCCAAACGGAAGAGCGTCAAGAAGCGCCGGGCACCTCGACTCCCAGCATGCTCCGTGCGGGCGGGGCCTCCGCGGGGGCTGCTGGGAGCCGGGAAGGAGCCCGCGGTCCGTTGGAGGCGAGTGGGTGGGGCCGCTGACACGGCTCTTGGCTGGCCCGGGGCGTCTCGTCTGCCCTGGAAAAGAAAAGGGTTTTTTTGCAGGCTACCTTGGAGGCCCGCGTCCCAGAAATAGAGGCCGCCCTGTGGGAAAGCAGCAGGGCGTGTCCGTCTGGTCTGCCCGGGATTCCTTCCGCCCTCTGCGGAGGCGCGCTCTGTCCTCCCTGGTGTTCCAAGGCTGCTGCCTCCTCCCTAATCTCCCTCCAACCGAGCCAAACCAGAGGAAGAAACACACACCTCGCTCAAAAGCAAACGGGTTCCAGGAGAAATCTGTGCCAGTCACATGTTAATCAGTCTAGAAACGAATGTCCGGTCCTGCAGCGTGGAATTCACGTGCGGGATCTACGATTCATATCAAGCCCAAACCCAATCTGTTTGCCACGTTCTCGTGCTAGGGACGAATTTTATCTGCATCGCTTAGGAGAGCTTGTACCAAATGAGAAAAATGCCAGGCAGCAAAGTTGCTGACATCTTCAGCCCATTGCCAGGGTATCCAGGGACTGGAAAAACAAACAAAACAAATGGATGTGCTGTAAAAAGTAAACCTTTATTGTGTCCTATGGTGCTGCTTGAATTTAAATCTCTAGGAAGCTCCAGGCAGACAAAGGACGTATTGTTAATGCTGTTGCCACGAAGAAGCACCCTAGACTGCCCTGGAAGCAAGTGTTGAAATGGGGCAGTCTATACCACACAGCTACTTAAACTTTTTCAACTCGCCGCCCTTTTTCACCTGAGAAATGTTTATGCCACTCTGGGTACATAGGATGTAAAATAGTGGTACAAAGCAAACACTGATAATAGGTCATAAAGAAGTTTGTTTTCATAATGAAACTCCTACAACATTTTTTAAAAAGCAGACCAAAACGTTTGTCCATTTAAGACAAAAGCAAGTTTGTATACAAGTAAGATAGCTTTGGTTGTTCGTTTTTACCTAAAAATTACTCTTGGCTGAATATTTGATACTTCTGGACTCAATATTTTCAACTTTTTTTTCTTTTGGAGTTGACTGCTATTTTGATTTATAATTACTAATGCTAAGAATCATTTCATATAACTACCTAGTGCAAAATGGCAAATATAGGTCTGGGAACATTTCAGAAATAGTTGGAAATTCTATCCTAATCCCCAGCCAAATTTATTTAGGGACTTTTTTTTTCCCAGTGAAATTCAAGTCAGTAACCCAAACTGCGATTTTTAAAACCAAATATTCTAACACAATACAATCCAAAGATGTATAAATTTGACAGGTGCTAAGAAACAACAGTAGGAAAATATTAAGTATTTTTCCCTTAATTAAGAATTATGTCTTTATAAGAGTAGAAGGCTGGCGGCAGAAGAGATGGCCGACGAGTTAAAAGCACATCACTGCTCTTGCAGAAGACTTGAGTTTGGTTCCCAGCATCCATAGCAGGCCTGTAACTCCCAACTCCAGGGGCAGCCAATGCCTCTGACCTCTGAGGGTACTTGTACTCATGCACAGACCCATACAAGTATACATAATTAAAAACAATCTCTTAATCCCAGCACTCTGGAGGCAGAGAGGCAGGCGGATCTCCGTGAGTTCAAGACCAACCTGGTCTACAAAGTGAATTCCAGGACAGTCAAGAATGTTACACAGAGAAACCCTGTCTTGAAAAAAGACAATAATCATCATAATCATCATCTCTTTTTTTCTTTTTCTTTTTTTTTTTTTTTTTTTTTTTTTTTTTTGGTTTTTCGAGACAGGGTTTCTCTGTGTAGCTTTGCGCCTTTTCCTGGATCTCGCTCTGTAGACCAGGCTGGCCTCGAACTCACAAAGATCCACCTGCCTCTGCCTCCCGAGTGCTGGGATTAAAGGCGTGCGCCACCACCGCCCGGCTCTCTTTTTTTCTTGAAGACTAGAAAACTACTATATACTGTAGTTCATACACAATAATCTCAAATCTGAGCCTAGGTGTTTCAGGCAGCAATCATTAGACATGTGTAGCCAGAATGCATGCACAGAACAAAGTGCACATTGTTCAGAACCAAGGCTACAGTGATAACCCACAATGCAACACAGGTGAGCACCTCCACAAATACTTGGGATTCACCACTCTTTTGATTGTTGTATATTCAGAAACCTTTGCTGTTGTAAGACTTTTCCCAACCCCCACAGTCAGTTACATGACCCCACAGAGGCACACAACCCACAGTTTAAGAAGTTGAGGGACTAGACAGAGTCCATGCCCCACCCCTACCCCAGAAGACAATGCCAAACCTAAGGCACAGATGATCTTCAGTCATGAAGAGCCTGGTAAAACAGAGATGCTTAAATTGTTTGAAAAGCAATTTGCTTTTCCTTTGAATTCTTTTCATACACAAAATCATTTTGAAATACCAGTTTTTATTAAACATACACACACATACACACAATTTGAAAGAGCTTGTGGGTTTAGTTTAGTTTAAAAACAAAAACCTGTGGTTGATATCCAGTCCATAGGATAGTCTTGCACATCTATTTCATTCTGAATTAAAGACCTAAAAGTCTGGAGAAACTCCTGCATTGTGTTTGCCTAAGAACGTGTATGGACATGCCACCCTTGGCTAAATGACCACTTCACCAGTGGTTAGACACCTCTCATTGAACAGCATAGAAATCCTCAACGTGCCAACAGCAGGATCGCATGCAGAGGAAGCTGCTCTGCTGCAGGACTGTGTATCAAATGCTTCCTGGAGTTGCTTGAAAAATAAACAAGTCTTGTACCTAGATACTCTTAAGAACTATGAGAAGCCAAGCATGGTGGTGCATGCCTTTAATCCAGCCCTTAGAAAGGAGGGGCATGTGGGCCTTTATGAGTTCTCAGCCTGCCTAGTCTACACAATGGGCTCCGGGCCCTCCTCCTCTGCATAATGAGGCCTTGTCTCAAAGAGAAGAAGAGGAGGATGAGGAGCTACTATAAGAATTTAAATAGCTAATAATCTAGGAACACATGCAATATGCTAGGATTAGTCTTCTATTACTATCTGGACATGAATGCTACTCCTGAATCATCTACCCCTCATAAACTAGCACCCTGTTTAAGTGATCGGCGCTTTGGTATTTATTGATGTCTTTCTTGTACAAAGAACTCTAAAAACATCACACACTATTTAATTTTATAAACATTGGCAAGTGTCACTTCTGTTGATAGGGAAATGGGAACAGGAGAGAACATTCACGTCAGTATTAGAGCTAACCCAGAAAGGAGAACGTTGCCCAATTTTACACTGTGTATTTTTAAATGATTTTTTTTTTTTTTTTTTTTTTTTGGTTTTTTCGAGACAGGGTTTCTCTGTGTAGCTTTGCGCCTTTCCTGGAATTCGCTTTGGAGACCAGGCTGGCCTCGAACTCACAGAGATCCACCTGCCTCTGCCTCCCGAGTGCTGGGATTAAAGGCGTGCGCCACCACCGCCCGGCCTTAAATGATTTATTTTTAATGTGTATGTGTGAGTACCTGCATGTATGTATATGCACCACGTGCATGCCTGGTACCTGTGGAGGCCAGAAGAGGGTGTTTAATTCTTTTCATTGGAATTACAGGCAGTTGTGGGCTGCCCAGTGTGGGTGTACTCTGAACTGCTGAGTCATCTCTCCAGCCACAGAGTCTGTGTATTTTTACTCTCCTCACAGCCACCATAAGTGACACCCCACAGTAGTCCAGGCAACAATTTAAAATTAATCACCTTCTATTGCTTGACAGAAGGGTAAACATGGGACCTAATGCTTATTCTCTTCTTAGATTGACTCAAGCAACACAGAAAGGTCTTTTTAGTATCCTTCAATAAATGTCTATAGACATATACATATTCTTAAACACAGTTCTCTAAATTTTTATGAGCCCCAGAGATATGAAAACTTCATTATTTCAACTGATTTATATTAGTAATAGTATTCACCTTTAGACCAACTATCTCTATGGACCTGACAATATCTTTTCAAGGTTGCCTGTACCCTTTTCTCATCCGGGTATGTTGGTGCACATGTGTAAGTATCAGGAATTGAGAAGGCGAAGGCAGAGAACTGCAAGTCTGAGGCTAGCCTGGACTACACTGCAAGATCCCGTCTCAGGCTGTCCATCAAAAGTATTCCTTCTCAACAGGCCAACTTAACCTTCAGTATAGAAGTGCTCTATAACAATGAATCTGTTTATGAGTAATTCCCCAAACAACTTGAACCAGTGGGCATTTTGAAGGCCATGCTGTTAATAAACATTAAGACTAATAAAATACAACCAGTAAAAGTACAAACATCAAATCTGAACTGTTTGGATCAAGTCCTGGTTTCCACTATGTGATCTTAGCAACTGGCTAAGTCTTTCTTTACCTATTTGACATCTGCAAAGTAAGTCAACAACGCTTACATTCAAGATTTGTCATAATAATTAAGAGTCATAATAATTACTACACTAGAGCTTGGAACGGTGCCCAGGACTATTACGTTATTAATGTTAAATTT